GGACCCCCGCCTCGGCGCGCGCCCACCCCCGCGCGACCCTGTCCCCTCCTCCCAGCTCGGCCAGAAAGAGAAAATGGCGCTCGATTTGCCTCCGGAAGTGACGCACGTCCTCATTTGCATGCCGGTGCAACCAGCCAATGGGATGAGAGGGTGCATGGGACCCCTGGGCCGGGCCTCACAGGCCCTTTGGGGCCCCCACCTAAAGCAGGACTGGAGGCTCTGGGGTGGGAGTGGGGGTATCCTGCAGGCGCCCCCTACCTGGACACCCCTCCTGCCACAGTGGACTGGTCCCTCACCAGCATCTGCAAACTCTCGTGAGAGTTTGAGTTGATAATGACGTCATTGAAGGGGTGGGGCAATTGTGTCATCAACCACGTGGCCAATCACGTGAGCTCACCAGAGTTTTGACCTCATTTGCATGGAATGGGGGTGGAGCTAGTGACTGCAGCAGGAATGGGTGGCCCCGCCCACACCTCAGAGCCAATGGGAAGCCAGCTGTGATGGGAGCCCTGCCCTGCCATTGGCGAGCAGGAATGGCTGAGACTCTCACCCCTGGGCCCTGGTGGGCGCACCCTGGGGAGCTCCCTGGAGGGCTCTCCTGACGATTCTTTTAAGACAATTTATGTCACACCTTGTATTGAGAATTCTGATTTTTAAGTTAAAGCCACTATATGTTTCATAGCTTACATACATTTGTAAAAACTCCTAAATGGCCGTAAAATTCACTTTTGCCCAGATTTATTAAATATTGTGAAGCAATAGTATATTTTTCGGAATGAGTGAAAACACGGAGGAGCAGCTTCCGAATGGCCTTGGGCCTTCGAGCAGTGAGTCCAGCGCCCACGGGAGCGAAAGGCCTGCAGCCCAGGGGCAGGTGCGGGGCAGACGCCCTCGCCGGCCTGTCCGGGGCGCTGCTCCCGCTCCCTGGGGCTCCCGGCAACACCGCCCCTCGCCTTCCTTTTCGGGGCCGGTCCTGCCCCGCTGCTCCCAGGCTTGGTCTCCAGCCCCGCACGCCCATTCCCAACAATGGTCCTACCTCGGAGCTCGTTTCCGAGGCGGTGTCCGCGCACCTTCGCAACCAGCCGTCCATCGCGGGACCTCGATGTCCAGTCATCCTGCCCCCGGCCCCTCTCCTGGTACCTTCAGCTAAATTTTAGCCTAGTAACTAAAAGCTTAACAGGCACCAAATAAATTTCTGATTTATCATAATTGAAGAACAGCTTGCCCTTTTTATTTATAAATTGTGATTTCATTTGATAATGAATGACAGGTGTAATTGGGTACAATATTCCTATATATCTCTGAGAAATTACGGGTGTGATGGAAAATAAAGCCAAAGCCTCCCAGTCCGCTATACTCCAATGAGAGCGTTTTATCACACTTCTCCAAGGAGCGCCTCTGCTCCCTCCACTGCTCAGCTCCTCACCCTCACCACCCTGAGGAAACGCCTTGGTCACCAGTCCCCCACTTGCTGAACCCAAGAACAGGCTTTGGTCCTGTCTGTCTGTACCCTCTCCCTTTCCTCGAGTCCTCTCCTCCCTGACAACTCCGAAACATGCCCTTTAACCTGCCCCGACCCGTCTGACGGTTCCTTGAGCCTTCATCAGCTTCGCTTCCTCAGATCCGCCTGAGCACTGGTCTCCAGGACCCTGCCCACTCTCGTTCATTTTCAACTGTATTCACTTTCCGTGTCCATGCACCAGGCACTGTGCTGGGTATTGGAAATCCCATGCCTTTCATCTATTACTCTGCATCACGACCGCAGATTCAAACTTCATTATTTAAATTCCAACTCAATATATCCACCTCTTCCCTAAGTTTCACTTCCATTTTTCTGGCCACCAAGTGGGTGTCTCAGGTACCCCAAATTCAAAATGTCCAGAACTGAATTCATCAACCCCTCCTCAACAGGCTCTCACAATAAGCAGTGTGCTTACCTAGTCTTTATTTTCACCATTTCCAATTCTCCCATTTTACATCCTAAATATTTCTCAAACCTGTTCCCTCCACTGCAGCCCTAATGCCAAGTGTACCTGCAGGTCGCCTCCTGGCTGGAACACCCACACAGGCACCGACCTACCTTACCTCCAGCTTGGGTACCCCAGATGCGTTCTCCAGTCAGATATAGCAAGAAGCACGTCAGACCCTGTCATCCCAACCCCCATAGGATCAAGTCAGAGGTTCAGGATGGCTACCAGCTCTCCAAGACGGACCAGTCCCAGCCCATCTCCTGCGCCAGAGCGTTTGTTTATCGAATGTCCTCCCTCCCCACCACCTGAACTAATTTCTATGCCATTGCCATTCAAGGCTGAGATCTGCGAGCCTCTCTTCCAGAAGAATCTCCCTGACACCACCACCACACACACAAACATGACACGACCATGTGGTGGGCAGTTGATATTCCAGAACATGCTGTGTCTTCACTGCACTGTTTTATCTTTATCGGCTAATGTGTTTACCTCAGGGGGTGCGACACCAGCAGGGACCATGTCTTCTTACTCATCATGTTTCCCTGATGCCTAGGTTACTTTAATATGAATAAACGTTTTAATAAATATAATAAGATTTTAATAAATTTTGAATGAAGTTTTCCTTCAACATCTTATACAATTTTTTAACATACTGAAAAGTTAACAATTGTACAGTGAACACCATCACCTTGATCTTACAATTAACATTTTGCTGTATTTGCCATATCACCCGGCTATCCAACTATTCATTTCTTGATTCATCTTTTTTGGGGGGGAAAATTGCAGACATCAGTCCACTGTGTGCCTAAACGCTTCAGCATGACATTTAAAGTTGCAATCAACAGCTTTGCTGCTGAAAGGATGTTCCCTCCCTACCACAGAAGGGATGACAAACATGACTCAGTGGGACTGGTCGAGATTATCCCCCCACGGTGTGTCCGTGTGTGCGTGTTTGTGTGTGCGTGTGTGCGCGTNTTTGGGGGGGAAAATTGCAGACATCAGTCCACTGTGTGCCTAAACGCTTCAGCATGACATTTAAAGTTGCAATCAACAGCTTTGCTGCTGAAAGGATGTTCCCTCCCTACCACAGAAGGGATGACAAACATGACTCAGTGGGACTGGTCGAGATTATCCCCCCACGGTGTGTCCGTGTGTGCGTGTTTGCGTGTGTGCGTGTGTGTGTGTGTGGAGGGTGGAGGGATTTGGGGGGAGAAAAAGAGGAACTCAAGGGCACAGACAAGAGTGCAGTGGTTGCAGGGTTGAGCGGGTGGGTGACGGTGGAAGAGGGTGAAGGGGGATAAATGGTAATGGGAAAAAATACATTTTAAAAAAAGATTATTCTCAGGATTCAGGAAAACGCATGACAGAGATGTCATCAAATCATTCTAAATCAGAAGCTAGACCTGAGGGTGTACCTGCTGGACACGTCACTGCACATGAAAGCTTGTTCTGCCTTAACCTACGAGGGTCAGTATGAGCACTGATGCTTTGATCTCAGTTGTTTGGTTGGGATTGAAAGGGAAAATGTCATGCTGCGCCTTTCCTACTCTATCATCTCGCTCCCCCTATAATCGGCATCTGCATTTGTTAAGATAACCAACCAACATACAGACAGCAATCTGGGTGACCACAGAACAGAGACAGACCTTAGACTGGCCCCAGAGCCTGATATATCAGCCCACCTTTGTGAAAATTAGAAAACGGGTAAGCCCTGTGGGCATGTGCTGCCCTGAAGGCTCTAGCTTTGGGATAAAAGTGCTGCTACAAAGTGCCAGCCACGCATCGGAGTGCGGACCAGCGGGCGGGATTTCAGCTCCTGCTTCCCTGCCTCAGCTGGTTTCCATGTAGCATATGCACACTACACAACTATATTCAACAGAGACCACTGT